TTTTTTTTTTTTTTTTTTTTAATACTTTTTTATAATCTAAAATACCATACAACAGCACTCTATTCTAATTAATCTACATTTTAATTTAAAAAGACTGACCTTTCGAAATGAGGATCGCGATCAAACCGAAACAGACGATCCAGAAGAGTCGGGGATCCATCTTTGGCCAAGCGTTGAGCGCTTTTCCCCGGATGTACGATCGCCTGGTTGCCGTCAGCTGCTGAATGCCCGAGGCCTCGAGTCGAGTTCCTCCAGAATTGTCATGTCAGACAGAAGAAAAAAACCGATGTCGAGAGATCAACGTCTTTCTAGACGTGAATCGAATCTGACCGAAAAATCCATATATAGAGAGAATCCTCGAGATATCGTGGTGTTCCTCGACCACGCAACGTGTCCACGACCAACTCTCGACGACCAAGTGTGTTTTGTCGGTGGTTACCAAGGCGATGATTTCCAACGTCGTCGATCCGCACTTTTATTCCGCGTTTATTCCACGCCGATCGATGATCTTCCGCGATGGCTTGGAAAAAACAGTTTCAAACAGCAGTTTCTCGTTCGTTTTTCTTTCCTCGAGCTGCTTTTGCCGAATCGACCCAACTGATACCGTTGGACACTTCATAGGCTGAAACAAAGTTGGTAATTGCGTGATTCTGTTTATGCTAGCTTGGCACACGCGAATTATAGGCGCAGTAGATGCGTGCGTATTATGGCGATTACGTTTGTGGATATCTCACATGGAAAGGTGTCAACTTATCGTGGATTTTGGTGCCTCGTTTTAGCAAAATGGGCGTTTGAATATTCGTGGGTCGTGTCGGTGATGGTGATCGGAATGGGAAATGTAGTATGGCTCGTCCAGGTGTGTGGAAATCTAATTGGAAACGTGTATTTGCATAATATGTATCGGGAAATAATATTAATTGAGAAGGGTGGTTAATGTGATTTTAATTATGTTTTTAGCGAACTAAATTTTATTCGAAAGTGGAACATGTGACATTTAATTGTAAATGAAATTTTTAAAATCGGAGATGCGATAATTTGTTTAAATTTGTGTAAATGAAATTTTTGAAGATTTTTAAGAAATTTCAAAATTATTAAATTTTTTTGAAATTTATAGATATAATTATAATAACAATTAGATGATTTAAGATTATTTTAAGATTAAATATAAAAAAGTAGATTAAATAGATACGAAAATTTAACGTAAATTATTATATAAAATTTTTAAGATTTTAAAATTAATAAAACTTTTTTAAATTTATCTACGAATAAAATTTTTGAAGATTTTTTTAATTTAATAATAATAGGAGAATATTTATTATAAAAGAAATTTTTATAAAAAAATAATAAATTTAATAAATATAATTAATATTAATTAAAAAAAAATTAATATTAATTACTAGAAATGTTATTTTGTAAGAAGATTTATAGTGTCCATATTTTATTAAATTTTAATAAACATGTGAGAAAACAGTAAAATTAGGGCAGATGTGATATATAAATAA